GAATCGAACCCGCGACCCTCAGATTGCGAGTCGAGCGTCCTACCCACCTGGCAAATTAAAGAAAGAAATGTGCAGGCATATCAAGGAATGTATAAAAGGAAAATTAAGATACTAATAAATAAATAAATACATAAAAAAAAAAATTAAATAATGGCATTGAGTTAGATGAAAAATTTATGTACAGAGCACAATTCGTTTTTGTTGGTATGATGAAAAAAATATTTACCTCTTTCCTAAAAAGAGAATAATCCAATCCAAAATTTTAATTCGTTCATTCAAATACGAGACCATGCAAAGCTATTTATGGAAATGTTTTTGTTCAATTTTCAAAGTGCTGTATAACATTAGAATATCATTAATGAATCGTTCAGAGAAGCTGTGGTTGTTAATGGGTTGCTTTAGCATTTGAAAACAAGATTGTCTTACACGCCTGTTTATAGATGATTTGCTTTATTTTGGAGTGTAAGTGGTAAAAGATTGATAATAAATTCGGTTAACAACAACAGCGCAACGCGCTCTATTGAAACGTTTTTTTAGGAGCGTAAATTAAGTTTATCTGATACAATGTGATTTTAGGTTTCACCTGAAAATGTACGCATTATTCCAAAGCTATAAAGAACAAAGATGAATAGTGAAGCAACTATTTTTTCGGAAGTTTCATTGAAAACTGTGTAATTGTCGGAACTGTTGACACGCATATGTTGCTATTAATAAAACTAGTCAAAACAAATTTTTGTAAAACACAAATCCTGTATAAATGTATTTTCACTGTGGTGAGTAAAAGGAAACAAAAATACCATTGATTTAAATAGCAAGCTGTTTCCTTTCTACTGTACACAAACTAATAACACACCTATAGCGTGTCTATCCACTACACACACTAGTAGCATGTCTATCCACTACAAACACCTGTAGTGTGTCTATCCACTACACACCTATAGTGTATCTATCCACTACAAACACCTGTAGTGTGTCTATCCACTACACACCTATAGTGTATCTATCCACTACGCACACCTACAGCGTGTCTATCCACTACACACACCTGTAGTGTGTCTATCCACTACACACCTATAGCGTGTCTATCCACTACACACATCTGTAGTGTGTCTATCCACTACACACACCTATAGTGTATCTATCCACTACACACACCTATAGCGTGTCTATCCACTACACACACCTGTAGTGTGTCTATCCACTACACACACCTACAGCGTGTCTATCCACTACACACACCTGTAGTGTGTCTATCCACTACACACCTATAGTGTATCTATCCACTACACACACCTACAGCGTGTCTATCCACTACACACACCTATAGCGTGTCTATCCACTACACACACCTGTAGTGTGTCTATCCACTACACACCTATAGTGTATCTATCCACTACACACACCTATAGCGTGTCTATCAACTACACACATCTGTAGTGTGTCTATCCACTACACCCACCTGTAGCGTGTCTATCCACTACACACACTTGTAGCGTATCTATCCACTACACATATCTGCAGCGTGTCTATCCACTACACACACTTGTAGCGTATCTATCCACTACACACACTAGTAGCGTATCTATCCACTACAAACACCTGTAGCGTGTCTATCCACTACACACACCAGTAGCGTGTCTATCCACTACACACACCTGTAGCGTGTCTATCCACTACAAACACCTGTAGCGTGTCTATCCACTACACACACCAGTAGCGTGTCTATCCACTACACACACCTGTAGCGTGTCTATCCACTACAAACACCTGTAGCGTGTCTATCCACTACACACACCTGTAGTGTGTCTATCTACACACACCTGTAGCGTGTTTATCCACTACACAAACTATAAAACTATACACACCTGTAGTGCGTCTATCCACTACACATACTATAAACCATACACACTGTGTTGTGTCTATCCATTACACACACTTGTAGCGTATCTATCTACTACACCCACCTGTAGCGTGTCTATCCACTACACACACTTGTAGCGTATCTATCCACTACACATATCTGCAGCGTGTCTATCCACTACACACACTTGTAGCGTATCTATCCACTAAACAGACTATGCATAGTAGCGTGTCTATCCACTACACACACCTACAGCGCGTCCATCCACTATACATATCTGCAGCGTGTCTAGCCACTACACAAACTACACACACTTGTGGCGTGTACTGTTTTATATTATTTCCGTTAGTGACATTATAGTTACTGAATCTATTGAGAAAATTTTAAACATATCGAACTTGTAGTTTAAGTTAGTTCTCACCGTTTGTGCAATTCAAACACTGGATCATAAAATAAAACAGCAATAATAATGCAAATAACTAGATAAAGTTTTAATTTAGGTTCCTGTAAAACGATTTTCAAAAAGACACCATGTAAAATTACTGACCATAAATCATTACTAGGCCCGGCATGTCCAGGTGGTTAGGGCGCTCGACTCGCAATCTGCGGATCGCGGGTTCGAATCCCCGTCACACCAAACATGCTCGCCCCTTCAGCCGTGGGGGCGTTATAATGTGACGGTCAATCCCACTATTCGTTGGTAAAAGAGTATCCCAAGAGTTGGCGGTGGGTGGTGATGACTAGCTGCCTTCCCTCGAGTCTTAAACTGCTAAATTAGGGACGGCTAGCGTAGATAGCCCTCGTGTAACTTTGCGCGAAAGTCATAACAAACAAACAAATCATTACTGGAGTTTTAAAAAAAATTTAGTCCTTTATGTCGTTGGGAGTTGGGGTAGGGGTCTTTTGGATTGTTTGGTAAAACAAATGCGAATCTAGTTCACATAAACTCAACAGATTCACTTATTTCTTCAATAACGTTTGCTACAGGCCACTGGTAGACGTAATTTCACAAATAACGTTTTAACATAAATTCAGAAAATAATGTAAACCGAACTTACTTAAAAAATGTATTCCCTAATCAATCATTTACAAGCAGCTGATTGACTCACTGGCTAGTTTACTAACTATTTCAGTATTAATTAATCTGATGATCTTGTAACTTCTAGCTGGTACCTTTAGTTGTTTATCTGCGACTTTAATGGATTTAAGCACCACTGTCAACTGGAGATTCTTCTTGGATGTAAACCTACCTTTCTCCAGCCTCTTCTTTTATGGAATCTGTCAATTGGTCACGTGCCAATGAATCAATCATTTCACGTGAAGTATCCGGATAAGACAACTGGACAAGCCTTTCAGAAGCCTTTCCGAATATTTTACAAGTTCAGTTAAGATCTTTTGTTTCCTCCTTATTCTGCTCCTGAAGTTTGTTCTGGATACTTCATTCGGATGTGTCTTTTCATATCCGTTGACTAAAGCAGCTACCAGTGCTTGATAATTGTTACGATCTTTGCTGGAAGGTTGCTTAACGTCTTTTAAATGGGTAGCAAAATGAATAGCTTGTTTTTCACTATTTTCTCGTTCATTTTGGAAATGATTTCGAGCTGAAATGGATATGCCTCTAACGGTACCTTTCCATCATAGTCTGTTGTTTTCTAAATTGGGTGATCGTGTTGAACTGATCAGCTAAATTATAGAGCTGAATTTCGTAGTGACATGGCTTGAGTTGTTCATGAAAGTTCTTCAGTTAGAGATGGCCCAACCACGGTGTTAACAGGTTCTCCTATTCCACGTTTGAGTAAATGGTGCAGAAAAGGGTTCAATCTTAGAATTTATAATTTCATTTTCCGAATGTTTTATTCTGCCATTTAGGTTATTTATTTTCTACTTCATTCATCTTTCTGTACTTCTTCAGTTTTGTCGTTACAGAATTTCTGTATTTAGTTGATGTCTTTCTGTACTTCTTCAATCATGTTGTTGTATTCCTTCTGTACATCTCCAATAGCTTCGTCGATTTCGGCTTCAATGCGATTTAGTTTGCATAATAGCAAACTGTATGTAAATGTTCAATGTGGTATACTGAATAACAGTAGCCAACGTTTTTCTATTCACGTCTGATTAATCCTGTCTCCTTTATTTGTACGTATGGCTTGTATTGAATAAGAAGTTATTAAATTATTAACCTTTAACAAGTCTTATAATGTAAAACGCGTTAGTAAGATGGCTTTATCGGTTTATTTTAGCCTAATGCCACGGTGAGTTGAGTTTGACTTCAACCTGTGTGTATATATATATATATATATGTACACCACTTTCTTTCGTGCCTCGCAGATTCAAGTCTAAACAATACTACTAGAAAGTATTTTTTCAAACTGTTGTGTACTTATTGTCCTGTCAAACAAAGAGGCAGATAGTCAATAAATCATTGTTTTATATATATATAGCTTTCAAAACTATTAATCTATAGAAAAAACCAATGATAATAATAATGCATCCGCAAGCTAGTATGAATTATTCAAATGCAAAAAAAATGGCGTACAATTTTGAAGTGACTCGTATTTGCTGAAAAAGAAATAGAATGCTAACAATGAACGAATAAAGAATAACAAATACGAATCGACCGTATACCTTGCTTTCATTGTGAAGTTCTCAGACAAAAATGTGTTTCGTGTTTGTTGTTTACGCCGACAAATGAAACTCTATATGATTACATGTTTTAAATGTTTCTTGTTCAACACAACACCGAACGGCTCTAAAAATGTTGCCACTGCAAAGGAATTACAACTCTGAAAACCTGGTTTTGGGCACGATACAGATAGTCCATTTTGTAGCTTTGCGCTTAACTACAAGCAAATTAATTCTTAAGAGACAACAAAAAATCTAGGAACAACCAACCAAGTTTTTATATTTACGTGGTTCAATTTCATTACATTTAGCGCGTAACTCAGCATGTTCTTGAACAACTGATTGTCACGCTCTAAAGAACGTCACGAAAACTGTGATTGGACGAATTATTTATTAATTTCCTACAGATTTACCCTAACGGCCAACAATAACGATTTGTCTCGTTTAGATAGTTCTGAAGTCGAGTGGATTTTTTAACAAATCTTTATGACTCAAATATCTGATGAACATTTATACAGACAGCCGGCCAATATGAGGGACTACTTCAACAAGTGTATCACTGCTGCGTTAGGAGTAGGGAATCTTAGCTTCAAACCTGGTGTTTTAAGAATCGCGGCTGATGAGGTATGATGTTTTCATAATTTATCAGTTATTTATAATATTACTTAACTATTTAACAACCCTCTATAATATTTTTATAACTATTTAACAATCCAATATAAAAATGTTAGTGAATATGTAACAGTCTTATATAACATTTTCATAACTATTTTGCAATACTATATATATATATAAATAGAACATTTTCATAACTATTTTGCAATACTATATATATATATAAAGTATAAATTGAACATTTTGATTATTTTCCTCAACTTTTTTAAATTCTATAAAAGTTTTATTAACTGTCGGTAGGGGCCCAGCATGGCGAGGTGATTAGGGCGCTCGACTCGCAATCTGAGAGTTCGAATCCCCGTCACACCAAACATGCTCACACCTTTCAGCCGTGGTGGCGTTATAAAGTGAAAGTCAATCCCACTATTCGTTGGTAAAAGATTTGGCAGTGGGTGGTGATGACTAGCTGCCTTGCCTCTAGTCTTACACCGCTTAAATTAGGGACTGTTAGCGCAGATAGCCCTCGTGTAGCTTTGCGCGAAATTCAAAAACAAACAAACAAACTGTTGGTAGATTATTCTGTTTCTTTCTTCTCAACTCTAATAGCTTTATGTAATTTTTAATAACCGTTGTTAGACTATTTTTTATAATTATTCTGAGCTTTGGTAGGACTTCTTATGTTAGGGCTCCTACTAACATAATAGTAAAATATTGTACAGGGAGTAGACACGAGGAACTCATACACAGTCTGCTGTGACTATAAAATGAGACAGAGAGGGCGACCGCATTAGGCAAGCCCAAATCTCCCACTATCTTACATTAGCAGTAAAACCTCCCATGCAGCCAAGTTTTACATTAATATGGTGTTGCACTTCAGTAAAATGCAATTCCATAAATAGTTCGCCTGATGTTACCTGAACTAACGATGCATTAGTAACTATAGAAATCGTCATGTTATATGCCACGTTTCCATTTAACTCGAATAACTTAATGCCCTCTATCTCATTACAATCGATTTGTGAGGCTGATGTAGCGATTGAGGACAGGCTGATTTATTCGGGTTAGTTTCACTCTCTAAACAATAAATATTAAAACTTTACACAAACTTTGTGCACGTAATTAAACCTGTTAAAATATCAACTTTCACTGTAAAGGACAGTAGTGAAGTTTTAAACTATGCCGATTATTTTCTCAACTACAGTTTAGGCTATTTCTCTTCATTTTGACAGTATCTACCATATGTTCAAGTACAGGAGAGAGACGGACTTGTTGAACTATGTGGACCAATGGCTAACCTTTTGGAGATACTCTCGACATCCTTGCCTTTCGAGTGAGCATCCAAACTTTTATTATTTTAATAAATGATTTATACAAACGCATGTAGCATAAAAGTCAAACCAAGTGATGACCATATATATACAAGAATGAGATAAATATCTCAGAATGAAAACGAAAGCATATTTCTATTTGTGTTGAATTGTAGCCTTTCAATAAACGGTCATTAAGCTGCATTAAATATCGGAAGTTTAATCTTTTCTCATTTATAAAAATATAATATTTGAGTTTCTTTTGCAATTTTAACAAAATGTATAGCATAAAGTTTTGGGACAACATGGAACCTATTGTTCCATCTCGCCTGTTCCTATCCTCTAAATTAAAACTGTTAATAAAGAATTTTCTTTAAAAAATCTTAAAGCCAGCTCTTATCATTCATACACTTACCAAGCTTCCTCATAAATTCACTTAAATATATTTCCCCCACAACATCAGAAGGCAACCCATTCCAAAGGCCAACCACCCTGTTAGAAAAATATAACTGTCTTAACTGAATATGATTCCTACTCTGCCAAAATTTACATTTGTGTCCCCTAGTCTTACCATTCTCACCATTAAATACGGAAATAAATGATGATACATGGACACTATCAACTCCTTTAACAATGTTAAACACCTCAATCAGATCCCATCTAGCCATTCTTTTTTCAAGAGAAAACAAGTTCAGAGATCTTAATCTCTTATAGTATGACAACTTTTTCATCTCAGGTATTATCCTAATAGCCCTCCTCTGAACCCTTTCAAATAACTTTTAATGTCCTTTCTAAGGTAAGGAGCCCAAGAATGAACACAGTACTCCAAATATGGTTTAACCAGTAACCTATACAATGAAATTATAACCTCTTTAAATTTGTATTCAATATTTTTGTAGATACAACCTAAAATCCTATTTGCCCTACCACTAGCAACAGCACACTGCTTGGATGGATTTAGAGACTGGTCGACTATTACACCAAGATCCCTTTCTTTCATAACACAATTATAGTTATTCCTATCCAAATTATACTTATAATTAAAACTCATCTGCCATATATTTGCCCAACTCACTAAATGATCTAAATCCTTTTGTAAATCAGCAGCATCCTTTTCACAGCTAACAAC